TCTGAAAATCCTCCGCAGGATTCAACCGACGTGTCTGTGCATTACATGACGGTGGGAAATTTTAATTCTCAAATCGTCATGTAGGAATCATCCATCGTATATTTGCATAATATTTGCTCCTTACCGTTTTCACACACACACACACACACACACACACACACACACACACACACACACACACACACACACACACACACACACACACACACACACACACAGAAACATAAAAACCTCTCTCTGTTGAAATTCCGACTGTCCCTGAATGCACCTCGACTACCAACGGTGGACGTGACGCTATTTAATTACTTCTGACTCCTGACTTTGAGGTAAGCGGCTGCATCTCTTTCACTTCTCCCCCAAATAATGTTTAATTCGCCGGTTTAGCACACCGAGTTAGTGTTCAAACTCCCGGAAACTAATGTGATAAGTCTCATTTAGTTTTCACATTACAGAAAGCCGTAGCAAAGTCCGTGTGAGATTAATTACACCTGTTTCGCCAAAGCTAACTGTAATGAAACTTACAGCCACCGCAACTGATAACGGTCGACGACGATTAACAGAGAAAGTCGCAGTCTCTTCTCCCCTAAATATTAAAACCTGCCGTTTTATTCTCTCTCTCTCTGTGATGCTGTGGCATAATTGTGATATTGTTATAATAAAAGGGAAAAAATTAAACTGTCACGGTCTTAACATCAACCAACAGTCAGCTAACTGCTGGCTAATTAGAGTCCATGCTCCGTGACTCTAACCGTTAATATATTTTCATGGTTGTATCAACAATTAACTGTCAGCTCTGAGCAAATTCTCAGATTTCCATAACACGAACATCCTTAGCAAACACAGTTGCCTCCTTTGCTCTAATGTTAATGTCTACCTTACTTGTTGGTTAGTCACTTTAGCTGTTTAGTCAGCAATAGTGCTGACTTAGGCAAGTGAGCTTTTTAAGAGAGTGAAATGTCAATATTTGACATTAGTCAGCTCTTGGCTGTATAGACCATTTTATGAGCAGTCTTTTTGACATGAAATGATCATTAAAACCACCTGTAGGTAATAATGTGTCAAAGGTACAGGGTCTTAATTAATAAAACTGTAACACCTGTGTCAGCTTCACACCAGAATGGATGCTGTGTGATCTGGTTTGTTCAAATTATTAATAAAGTGAGAGTTCTTGTTTGTGGTGTGAACTGTGCAGGTGAAATGCATAATACATTGTACAGCTTAGAGCACACAAAATTTTTCCAGCCTTTTAGAGAGAGACAGAGACAGAAAAGATGACACTAACATGCTGTCTCCTCTTTTAGACGGAGAGAGGTTCCAGCGCTTGTTTGGTGAGTACCTGAAATTAAAATCTAAAATGAAATTGACAGCAGTTTATCACTTGAGTGTGGATGAAAACTTACCCACTCCCTGATATCACAAAATCCTTTTCTGAAGAGATCCCAACACATTCAATATAATATTATTCTTATGTAATCTTTTTTTTTTTTTTTCTCAAATCCTCAAAGTTGCTCCAAAGTTCTCCAAAATACAATCAAATTGTGCTCATTTCACATAATTGTTACGCCTTTGGTTGAAGTCTGTCCTTTTGAATTAATGCCATATTCAGTTTTGTGTCCCGCATAAAATTGTAGACTTTTAAGGTTGTTCATTTGGGTATAAAATTTACTCTGTGTGTGAGTGCTTCTTGCCCAAGGGCACAGAAGGTCCTCAAGCATGCACTGCAAGAAAAATTCTGATACCAAGAGGATTTCTTTGAGAGAGAGAGAACCAGCTGCTTTGTCAAACTTGTACTGCTGTAATATCATAGTAACTTCACCTGATTATTAATGTGTACTTTTGAACTGAACCAAGCACCACACACTCTTTACCTTGAAATAAGAGATGCAGGGACCAGTTACTATCCCATCATGTTTGATATCATATGAGCATGGACTTAGGCTTCAAAAATGTCACATAGCTGACCACAGCTAAACGTAGTTTATTGTAACTCTCATATGGTATAATTTTGTTAAAGGTAATGATGTTTTTTTCTCTTTTGTGTGTTATACTGTGCAGAAGAAGAAGAGTTCCGGTGTCCAGGTTCCAGTGGATTGTCCTGTTTTTCCCTCCCCTGCCCCCTACCCCTCTATCCTCCTGCCTGCTCTGTCTATTGTCCCTGCCTTCTTTCTCTACCTAAGTTTCCTTTTCAAGGTAGGAAACAATCCGCCTTGATACATCCATCCTGCTCTGTCTATTTTCTCAGCCTTTTTTCTCTCTCCCTAAGTCTCTCCACAAGGTTGGAAACCATCCGCCTTGAATAATCAAATACTCATCCTTGAAATACTTGCTTTGTTGGTGCTACCACGCATCCCTGAAAAAACTCACTTGGTTAGTGCTTCAGTGCATATTTGACAAAAATCTACTACTACTACTACGACTACTGGTACTGCTACTACCACTACAGTTATTACTTGTACCACTACTACTATTGCTACTACCACTACAACTGCTGCTACTACCACCACTACTACTGCTACTACCATTATTACTTCTACCACTACTACTCTTGTTACTACCACTACAACTACTGCTACTGCTACTACTACTACTGCTACTAGCACAACTACTACTACCTCTACCAGTATTACTACAACTACGACCAGTTACCTCCAGGAACAATGCCACGCAAAGGAAAGAGATCCCAAGCCAAAAAGCTACACTGGCAGAAATTTCCTGAGTCCCGAGTACCTAAACGAGGGGTGGTGAGTCCTCATCCTTACAACAGCGGACAGGTAAATACCCCTGATTTTTCTAATGCTAATGTCACATGTGTGTTGGCTTCCCGCAGTCAGGGGCATTATACATACGCTGATTCAAAGAACAGTCAATGCTCCTGCAACTGTGCTACTTTCCTGGCCTTTCTGCATGAGTTAGGACAACTCCACACTGCTGATCTTGATCTCATTTTGGACAAAGGCCATGCAATGTATGCTCTAACTCTCGGTCAGTTGGATGTTGATGGTCAAAAAGTTGATAGATTCTTAAATATAGATGAACTTCCATCAATCGTTGTTGGTGACAGACAACAGCACATAATGACAAAGTGTCAGTCAGTCAGTGGCGTCTTTACAGCTCCTACCTTGCTAAACAACAACCTTGCAGATGTACTTCAGTGCTTGTCCGCAGAGGTGAACTACGCATTTTTGATAATGAGTTCAATGTACATTGCTGTTTTCCGAGACCAACGCGGGCAGTATGGCTATTTTGACCCACACTCTCGACAGCCTGATGGTTTACCCTCTGGCTTTGGTTTTGGCACAGCTGTCGTCTTTATTTTCACACATTTAAATGATCTGATCACAAAGCTTGTGACATTGTTCTGTGCAGTGGGCTCTGGTCCAAATGCTTATTTTGAGCTGACACCTGTACAATTTCAGACTGTGGATGAGCTCTCAGAGGGAGAAAATTTGCCACATGTAGAGTCTAATGCAGATGTTGTTCCAATAGAGGGGCAGCAAGAACTTCACATGTCCAGTCTACCTCAGGCTGAATCTGAGATAACTGCCCCAATAAAATCTAACAGTCAAACTATGCCAGATCTTTCTAAACGTAATAATCAGGAAAGGAGGAAACTGAAAAGAAGAGTTCTAAAGGGAAAGACAAAAGTTGCAATTGACAAAAATTCAAAAGAGCGTGAACGATATGCCAAAGACAAATCGTACCAGCAATGTAAAAGGTTGCGTATAGTAAAGCTGTACAGACAAGATCTAGAGTTTAAACGGAGACAAAGGTCTTACATCAACCACCGATACACAAATGATGCACAGTTTAAACAGAGACAAAGGTCTTACATCAACCGCCGATACACAGATGATGCAGAGTTTAAACAGAGACAAAGGTCTTACATCAACCGCCGATACACAGATGATGCAGAGTTTAAACAGAGACAAAGGTCTTACATCAACCGCCGATACACAGATGATGCAGAGTTTAAACAGAGACAAAGATCTTATATCAACCGCCGATACACGCATAATGCAGAGTTTAAATGGAGACAAATGTTGTACATAAGAAACCGCTATTGCCAGGACTTTGCATTTAGATCCAAACAAAAACTGTATATCACAAAGCGTTACGCAAATGATCTCGCATTCAGAGCGAAGCACAAACAAACTATGAGACAGCTAATGAGAGACAAATACAGAAACAACCTTGTAATCAGATTAACCAACAGCATGCGTTGTGCAATTAAGATTAGACAAAAATACAGACGTTTAAACAGAAAGCAAATCGACATGGATGACAGTCAGATTAAAGAAGCCATAGAGATTTTCAGATCACACATAAAAAATGGACCCACATATGTCTGCACAGTTTGTCACAGAGCACTGTTTCCAAATCAAGTGCGACCCTGCAATCGGTCAAAATATGACAAAGAGCCGCGTGTTGTTGCAGCTTGCCTCACTGGTACATATGTTCATGTCTGCAGTGATGAATGCGAAAATCTACAACAGTGCACCGTACCAGAGGAGCGAAAGAGAGAGTGGATTTGTTACACATGCCATGATCACCTTAAGGCTGGTGGGATGCCACCCCTCGCCATGGCTAATAATTTACAGCTTGCTGATATTCCAGATGAACTGTGTGATTTGAACATTTTGGAACGTCATCTTGTGGCTAAAAGCATACCGTTTGCTAAAATTATTCCACTGCCCAAAGGTCAACAAAGAGCTATCCGTGGAAATGTTGTGTGTGTTCCGTCTGAAGTACAAGAAACTGTGAATGCTTTGCCTAGACTGAGGAGTGAATCTCAGGTCATGAGAGTGAAGCTGAAGAGACGACTGTGCTACAAAGGTCATCAGCTGTTCCAAACTGTGACCTGGCCAAAACTTGTGAGAGCTCTGCTCAAACTTAAAGAAATCCATCCCCAGTACAAAGACATAACAATCAGGGATGAAGCTGAGTCATGTGACCCAACTCTTCCTGATGATGAAGACACTGAGACTGATGAGGATGACAGAATGGATGATGATGATTACGATGAGGAAGATTTGATGGAGATTGACCGTATTGAGAAAAATGCACTCTGTGAGGCAGGAAGCATTCCTGAAAACAACAAACAAGATATGGACAATCGGTCAGGTAATGATGGCTGTGAGCCAGAGAAACAGTCTGATAACATGGAGGGTGATGAACCGAACGGTGGTGTTGTCCTTGAATCATGTCTGCAGCCAAGTGATGTGTCGGAGGAGATTTTGAGTTTTAGTGAGGGAATCTACTCTGTTGCCCCCGCTGAAGGAAAAAAACCGTCGAGCTTTTTCAGAACACCCAAACTTGAGGCGATGGCTTTCCCAGTTCAGTTTCCCACTGGCGAAAATACACTGGATGATCACAGGCCAATGAAATTAACACCCTGCAGTTATTTCAAAACGAGGCTTTGCTGTGTCGATGGCCGTTTCGCTAAAGATACTAACTACTTGTTCTTTGCTCAGTTTGTGACAGAAATACATACGGCCACTTCCAGCATGAGAATACAGTTGCGTAAAGGCAAACCTTTGACTCGAGATGGCCGCAAAATCACCAATGCCATGTTGCAAAACAAACGAGAAGTTGAAAGGCTAGTGCGGAACAAAGATGCAATAAGATTCATGACACCGCTGAGAGGCACCCCGGCATATTGGCAGAAAACAACCAAAGACTTGTTTGCGATGATTCGGGCTTTAGGCTCGCCACAATTCTTCTTAACTTTCAGTGCCGCAGAAATGCGTTGGAAATGGGTTATCACAGCAATTAAAGCCCAGCAAGGTGAACACGTGAATTTTGAAGAGCTGGATTGGTCCTCCAAGTGTGAGATTTTGCGAAGTAATCCTGTCACCACAATGCGCATGTTTGACAAACGTGTCGAGGCACTGTTCAGAGATCTGATCCTGTCCCCCGCACAACCTATCGGCAAAGTCGTTGACTACTTTTACCGGCTCGAGTTTCAGCACAGAGGAAGCCCACACATTCACGGTATGGTATGGGTGGCAGGTGCACCTGTGTTTGAAGAATGCTCTGATGAGGAGGTGTGTAAGTTTGTGGCCAGATTCATCAAAGCTGAGCTGCCCGATGAAAACAAGGACCCAGAACTGTACAAAATAGTCACAGAAGTTCAGATGCACAGCAAAAACCACTCCAAGACATGTGTGAAATACAGTGGTGCAAACTGTCGTTTCGGATTTCCCAAACAACCTGTCCCAAAAACCACAATAATCAGACCGGGGGCAATTGTGGATGAAGCAACAGACCTGGCATTGACAGAAAAGCTTGCAACACTTAACAGACTTCTTCATGAACCTACTACTGCATCGCTCAGCTTTGAACAGCTTTTGGCAAAATGTGAGTTCACCAAAGAAGAATACCACAGGTGTTTGCAGAGCAAAACCAACGGCAGTCAAGTGATGCTGAAGCGTGGTCCCAAAGATGTTTGGGTAAATGGCTACAACCCCTACCTTCTGAAAGCCTGGAATGCCAACATGGATATCCAATTCATTCTCAACCCCTACTCCTGTATCATGTACATGTGCAGCTACATCAGCAAGGCGGAACATGGTCTGAGTGAATATCTCAAAACGGTGATACAAAACTCACGTCAGGAAGATGTCAACGAAAGCGATGAAATGAAACAAATAATGCAAGCCTACTCCAAAAAAAGAGAGGTAAGCGCTCAGGAGTGTGTGGCTCGTGCATGCGGTCTACACATGAAGCAGTGTTCACGCAGCGTGGTGTTTGTGCAGACGGATGACAACGCACTGAAAATGAGTTACCCCTTGTCACACCTGGACAACAAACCTTCAGAATCGGAACATGTGTGGATGACAGGGTTACCTGATAAGTATGTATGCAGACCAGAAACACCAGACTTTGAGGCAATGTGCTTGGCGGATTTTGCATCGAGCTGCAGAATAGTCTACGGCAAGCAGACAAAAGGCAAAAACACTCATCGCCTGCTGAATGAGATGGGGTTTGTCCAGAAGAGAGCGAATGATGAAAAACATGCTGTCATCAAATATCGACCCATTTCCCTTGAGAAAGATCCAGAGCTGTATTATGGCACATTGCTTAAACTGTACGTGCCTTATCGCTCAGAAAACCAGCTGAAATCCATCCACTTCCCAACTTACCAGTCCGTCCATGACCATGCAGCTGTTTGGTTACCTGGATCACAGCATCCCGAGCGCGTGAAGGCAATTGTGAAACGCAACAGAGAAAAACATGAGAAACACCGTGAGGACATTGACAGTGCCATTCAAGAGTTTGAAGAAAGGGGAATGTTGCTAAATGAATGGGGCAACCTGGCGCCTGAGAGTGAGCTGGAACGGCTCGAGTGTTTAGATGAACTTAATGAAAGAGAAGCTGATGAAGACGTGCAGGAGAATGTTCCAGACTACAATGTGAGGTCAGATGTGAGGCGAGAATCTGCAGTCACGATCGAAGCCCCAGAGATTGATCCTGCGTTGCTGCGTGAGATGTATCAGAACTTGAACCAAATGCAAGCTTCAGTTTTCCACACCATTCGGGACTGGTGCTTGAAATGTGTTTGTGGTTCAAAACCCGAGCAGTTCTTCTTGTACATTAATGGTGGCGCCGGAACAGGTAAGTCTCACCTAATCAAATGCATCCATGCAGAGGCATCTAAAATACTCAGAAGACTTCCAAGAAATGCAGAGGAAGCAGACATCTCTAAACCTACCGTTCTCTTGACTGCATTCACTGGTACTGCAGCATTCAACATTTCAGGTACAACATTGCATTGTCTCTTGAAGCTGCCCAGAAGTCTCAAACCTCCTTTCCAAGGTCTTGGTAACAAACTTGACGAAGTCAGGGCAGAGCTTTCAAATGCAGAGATACTCATTATTGATGAAGTCTCCATGGTCTCCAAACAGCTCTTTGCCTATGTGGACGCAAGACTGAAACAAATCAAAGGAAGTCAGAGACCTTTTGGTGGAATGTCAGTTCTCACTGTTGGAGATTTCTACCAGCTACCACCTGTCAGACAGTCGAAACCTCTGTGTGTGTTCGACCCGACTCAGATCGACCTCTGGCGTGACAACTTTCAGATGGTCACACTGACCGAAATCATGCGTCAGAAAGATGATGTTGCTTTTGCTGAGACGCTGAATCGAATCCGTGCCAAAGAAAAGACAGTGTCTTTGTCTCATGAAGACAGAGTTCTACTTTCACAGGCCTTAGCTGACCCGGCTCAATGTCCAAAAGACGTACTGCATGTTTATGCAACAAATAAACAGGTTGAGGAACACAACTCAAAAACACTGGACATGTTTCACTCTGATGTCACCACAATAGATGCGGACGACTACAAAAAAGATCCAAGCACCGGGAGAATGACGAGACAAAGTGTACCTTTCCAAGGAAACAAAAAGGAGTTGCCTGACTCGATAAAAGTGGCCATCGGCGCTAATGTCATGATCACCAGAAATATAAGTGTGAAGTCAGGTCTCTGCAACGGAACATTTGCACGCATTGCAAAAATTGTGACTAAAGAAGGAAATCTGCATGTTGAAAAACTCGGACTTAAACTGAACGGTCAAAGTGCAGCAGCCAGCGAAGCAGATGCGGATGAAAATATCGTGTACATTGACAGAGACGAGGAGAATCTGAAACAGACAGGAGTTGTCCGAAGACAGTTTCCCATCAAGCTCGCTTTTGCATGTACAATACACAAAGTTCAAGGGATGACAACGTCCTCGGCCGTGGTCTCACTGAAACACATCTTTGAACCCGGCATGGCCTACGTTGCTCTGAGCAGAGTGACCTCTCTGAGTGGACTCCACATTCTAGACATGGATGAGAGGAAAATCTATTGCAACCCTGAAATCACCGTAGCCCTTGAAAACATGTCTAAAGCTTCACTTGAACATGTCATGCCTCTCCTCAAGATCCCAGAGACATTAAGCAGGCCAGACACTCTCACTGTCATTCATCACAACACAGAAGGACTACCAGCTCATATTACTGACATCAAAAGTCACCATGAACTGCATCTTGCAGACGTGCTCTGTCTCACTGAAACTCATCTGCGAGGATCCTTTGTTGCTGAGAGTCTCCATCTTGAAGGCTACAACATGTTCAAACGTAACAGAAACGTGTCTTATTCAAACCATCCTGCCATGGCCAGTAAAAACGGTGGCGGAGTTGCCATCTATGTGAAAGAACACATCAGAGTCCTTGAGAGACATTTCATTCAGAATGCCACTGATATTGAGTTCAGTGTCATCAAACTTGAAGCTCCTTTCAGGGCTCTAATTGCTGCCATTTACAGGCCTCCTGACTACGAAGTTCACTCATTCATATCCAACCTCAGAAGTCTCTTGGATTCACTTGAAGTCATGGATCATCATCCCATCTTAGTCTGTGGAGATTTTAATGAAGATTTGCTGTCCGGAGCAAGGAAGCCCATTCTTGAACTGTTTCAGTCCAAAGGTTATGAACAACTCATAACTGCTGCAACCACAGAGAAGAACACGCTGCTTGACCCCATTTTCATCTCTTGCCCACAGTCCTGTATCCATTCTGGCGTGCTGCGGACATACTACAGTTACCACCATCCTGTCTACTGCGTGCTCACTTTAGAAAAACCCTAAAGAGAACTGGCTGGTTTAAAATCGAGAACTTGGTGCAAAGTTAAGGGAAAAAAAATTATTGCGTCCATTACTGTCGGTTTACACGTTGCGATTTAAGAGAAGAGTTTTAATTATTGGTTTCCTAATCGATCACCTAACGAAACGTTGTAAAAATAGTATATTTTAAGATGGGGGGGTCGTCCTCAGCAGCCAGGCTGTAACACCTGCTCTGGCTGCTCTAGCTTTTAAATGGCTGGGAGGGAGGGATGGTCAGACGACCCTCCTATACCAAAGAAAAACATACCTGCAAATACTTTCTAGTCACTGTACAATGTGAGATTAAAGACAATATATAAAACTTTAATACATTTCTGAAAAATACAGTGAAGTAAAATGATGCAAAGGTCAGAACATTATTAGTAGCATTTAAAAAAAAAAAAATTTAAAATATACAGTGAGACAAATTAAAAACAAGCTAATTTAAAAGAAATAAAAACTGCCACTGAAACTATTATGAACTATTGAAATATTATAAACAAATTATATTTTAAGATGAGGGGGTCGTCCTTAGCAGCCAGGTTGTAACACCTGCTCTGGCTGCTATAGCTTTTAAAAGGCTGGGAGGGAGGGATGGACCGACGACCCCCTCCTATACCAAATTATATGAAATACATTTCAAAATATACAGTGAGACAAATTAAAAACAAGCTAATTTAAAAGAAATAAAAACTGCCACTGAAACTATTATGAACTAATGAAATATTATAAACAAATTATATTTTAAGATGAGGGGGTCGTCCTTAGCAGCCAGGTTGCAACACCTGCTCTGGCTGCTATAGCTTTTAAAAGGCTGGGAGGGAGGGATGGACCGACGACCCCCTCCTATACCAAATTATATGAAATACATTTCTGCAAGTCGTGACTTTACGCTGTATTAGAGTTGCCCATTATGTCCTGCCATTTACTTTGAGTAGTGGCAGGAAGGTCTGAGGATGCATTACTGCTCCTCATTTCTCTTGAATGACTTGGTGTGGGCGTAAGGTAAGAACAATATTGATCTTTCATATATACTAGCTGCAGGACTGCTCCATTTTAAATGTGAAAATACACGTTGTTTTACTGGATTTGTTTGTCTGAATTTCTCTGTTCATTTGTTTGGGTTTAGGCACCTGTGCCCTTTAGACACCAAAGATGTGGGGTGATGACACTAGAACTCCAGCTCTGTGCTCAGTGTGTCCCAAGGGCCTACCTTGGAGAGGGGAAGACACATTTCATCCTAAGAGAGCATCGGGTCAGCCTATGATTTTGATATCAAGACATTTGCACTCTGAGTTTGTTGCCTTTTACTGTTTGTGTTTGTTTCTGGTGGTCTACCAAAGGAGATAAGGATGAGCCTCTCTCAAAAGAACATCAATTGGTGAACCCTCTGTCTGACACTTGGTTGTATTCACGCCTTCCTGGGCTGAGAAGTTCGTCACCAAGTCTTTCACAGCCGTGTAAATTAACGGGTAGGAGCTGCAGGTGCCACAGTGAGAAGACACAATTTTACCTGTAAATCCCCTGGACATGTGCATGGTGAGTGACAGTACAGTTTATTCCTTTTAATCTAAGGCTACCAATAATTTCTCAATGATGCACCATGGCATTTTGAAGTTCTTTTTCTGTCACAATGTCACAGTGGCAGCAGAACACTGGCAGAGCAGCGCCTGAGCAACAGTTCCAGAGTACTGCAGCTAGACAGCTGTGTCTGTCAACTTGAAGAGGGCCCACACACATTGTAAGTTGACTTAAATGTTGTTACAATGTCTGTTTTCTGGTGTATTTAAATCAATCTGTAAGATTTCATCTGGTTTTTCTCTCTCCTCTTCAGTGCTACAGAGAGAGGTGAAGTTGGACATGCCACGTATGCAACACTATCCTGAGAAGAGGTGCCGCCACTGATCATGAACAGGACTCAAGCATGTTGTGAGTGGACTGAACAGTTTATTGATCAGGAAAAGTTTTGTGACATTTGCTAGAAAAGTTTGAAGGTAATGATAATAAACGTAAAGTTTTATTCGCCAGTGCTGTTCAGGAAACCAAACCCTCTCCAAGTGTGACCGATTAGCAGAGAGAACTTCTGATCCAGGATTTGACAAGTTGTTGCTCACACAATGCTGGACCATTAACGTATGTATTTGTCTTCAGCAGTCACATCATTTGCTGGTGTTCTCTGATGTGACAACCTTCTCTCCTCTCTGTACATCACAGAAGTCGACATGAGCTGAAGAGCTCGAAAAGTCCTGCTGATCTTCACTGTGGCTTCCTAGAACCTAGCTCCGAGTCTACAGCAGAGAAGGGTTCTGACCTGGGGAGCAACAGCTCTTAACTTCACCAAGTATGTTTCATCTTCAAAATCTTTGACTTTTCCACACTACAACCAGCTATGTAGGATTGGAGTTTGTCATCTGTAACACTAGTATAACTGTTGTCTTTCCTCTCAGCTCATCACAGAACCAGCTCGACTTGAGCCACAGAGCCAAACCCAGCAACCAGCGACCCTGGAGCCATGTGATCTCTGCTGAGCTTAAAACTAAAATACTGCATGCTCAGTCGTCCTGGTAGGGGATCCCTCTAAGACCTGGCCTACCTAAAGGTTTCTTCCTCTTATCCTGAGAAAGCTTTTTTGGGGGAGTTTTTCCTGACATGCTTGGAGGGTCGAAAGGCTGATGGTGCCATATACCCCAGATTTTTTTTCTGATCCAATGTCAATAAAGAAACAAACTGAAATTCTGGAGTTTTAATTTACTCATATGAAAGAATGAATGAATGACACATGCTTACAATCACAACAATTTAAATGTGTGAAATATGAAAGTTTGAGTCTGTTTAAATGAATAGAAAATTGTACGAAGGAGCAGTATGAGGCATGAATGGTCAGAAGGATTTATATTGTGGAAAACTAAAAGCTGAAGCCACTGCCTCATTGAAAATTAGGTCTGAAACTAGGCAAGTATGAATGTGGTGAAACAGTTGATGTCAGAATTTATGTAGAATGAGACATACATAGTGAGAATCATCTGAGAATTTGAGCTTTTAAAACGACACTAAGAAATTGTAATCGGTCCCTGGTGCTGTACTTTTGTGCGTCTCAAAAAAAACAAGCTTTCATGTGTAGGACCCAGCCACAAAAACTTCACAGAGCAGGAAAGGGGTGAAAAGCAGCTTCCCAGCCAGCTGTGTGTCTCCAGGTGCTCTACTCAGTTGCCATGCTGAAGGTAAATAAATTGAAGGAAGGCTTAATGAAGAGGAAACAGCTGTCAAATTGAAAAAGTTTTCAAGTGTGGAAAAATAAAATAATGAAAATGAGAAAGATTTGAAGTATCAGGAAGGTTTGAATCCATTTAAATGAATTAAAATTTGTTTGAAGAATTGAATAATGCATGAATAATGAGAATGATTTTAAAGTGGGGAACATTTTAATAGATAAAAATTAAAATGGAGCTGAATTTTTGGAGCAATATTGACGTGTAAAAATTAAAATGATTAAAAACCCTGAAGTATAGGAAAGGCTCGGAGAATCAGAAAGGTTTGAATCAGTTTTAATGAGTTGGAATTTGTTTTGAAGAACTGATGAATGCATGAATAGTGAAAATGATTTAAACAGGGAAAACAAAAATGATTATAATCTGGAAATATGAGAGGTTTTAAGAATCAGAAAGGTTTGAACCAGTTTGAATGAGTTTAAATTTCTTTGAAGAAGAATTGAATAAAGCATGAATATAAAGAATGATTTAAAAGTGGGGAACATTAAATAGATACAAATCTTTAATACATCCCATAATGTGCTAATTGAGCTGAATTTCTGGAGCCCTGGATGGTTTCTGTAGCTCAAAGTTTATGGGAGGACATAGATGCACATTTTTGTCAGGTGTTCTGGTGAAGGGGTTTAAATGTCACCCCCAGTACTCTGTGTACTGAACCTGGCTTCATGTGTCTCATATGGCTGTTAAAAGCAGCTTTCCAGCCAGCTGTGTGTCTCCAGGTGCTCTTATTGGTTGCCATGGTGACGATAGATGCTTAACAACAGCAGGAGAAAGGAGGCTTGAGGCTGAGAACGTAATGCCCAAACAACGTCATATTTCTCATCCTCTGTAACTGCTATCTTCATTATCACTATCTTGTGACAACCACAAGACACGGCTGAACATGTTGATACAACTTCTGTGTCTGTGGAGCCAAAAATGCCTTCGCTACGACAAGTTAAAAAAATGTCCAGTTTGTGTTTCCTCTGAAAATCCTCCTCTCAGGTTTATATTGGAGTCAATGGAGAAAGCTGGAGAAATGTTGGGGATGTCTGCGGCAGTTGGTGTCTGCCCAGGCCACTGTGTGTGTCCTATGGCTTTGATTTTTTAGATGAAGAGTGACAGCTAGTTTTGCCATCACTGTACCAAATTTTATCTGTGTAGAGCGAAGTGAGTTGCCACAATCCTTTTGTAAAGACAAAGTTTTGAGGATCAATTTTCAGCCTGTCTCACTCTAGCTGTGAGGTCACCCACTCTAGCGGCCAACATTCTGTGCAATACACACTAATGTTAAAACCTGAAGAGGTCAGAAAATCCTGTGACTGTTTGAACTGTCACTGTGAGAAAAATATGAATGCCATGAAGATGGTGAATGAATGAGTGAATGTCTGAAGATGTGTGAATATTTTGAAGTTTGAATGAAGTTTCTAGGTGAAAGTATGAATGAATGAGAAGAGGTTGAAGTTGAGTACATCTGAAAGCCTTTTCCCATTGAATCCCATTATAACGAAGTTTTAAACAAATCTTAATATTTTGAAAAGTACAAATGGGATTAAAAATGTTGAAGATGTGGAATAATGCTGACGAATTTGTGAATATTTTGGTTTTTGAATGAAGTTTCTACGTGGAAGTATAGAGGAGTTGAAGGCTTTTGAAGTTGTGTGAAGAAAATGTGAGAAAAGGGCCAATTTGAACATTCCGTAATGCATTTCTAATGGGAGAAATCGGTCGGAAAACCTGGAATATCTCGGAAAGTATGAATGTTAGGAAATTTTTGAATACAAGCCGGAATCTCCTCAATGAGATGAATCTTTTGAAGTTTGAATGGTTTGAATACGTTGAAGTATGTGGAAGTAGTTGACTGCCAAAAAACGGCGGAATAATAATAATAATAATAACTAGAAAATGCAATTTCTGAAGAAATTGCGAGTGGGATTGCTTCAGTTGAAATTGCTATCGCAATGCTGCTATTGCGAATGGCTGAATTTTAAAATATGTGAAAGGTCAAAAAGTATGAAGTATCAGGAAGATTTGAATCAATTGGAATAAACTCAATTGAATGAATTGACTAATTCATTAATAAATTTTGAAAATTCAATGTGTGAAAGTTAAAATGATTAAAAACCCTGAAGCATGGGAAAGGCTTGAAGAGTCAATAAGGGTTGAATCAGTTCAAATGAGTTGGAATTTGTTTGAAAGAACTGAATAATGCATTAAGAGTAAAAAATGATTTAAAACTGGAAAATTAAAAGGTTACAAATCTGGAAGAAAAAGAGGTTTGAAGAATCAAAACGGTTTAAATCAGTTTGAAGGAGTGTAAATTAGTTGGAAGAGTTAAATAATGCATTTTCAATGAATGATTGAAAAAGGGGGGAAATATAAATGAATAAAAATCCTTATTAGACCCCATAATGTCCTCAATGAGCTGAATTTATTGAGCCCTGGTTGGTTTCTGTAGCTCAAGGTTTGTGCCAAGAGATAGATGACAAATTTCGTCAAATAACTCTATTGAAGGGTTTTAAATTTAACCCCCAGTACTCTGTGTACTGAGCCTGGCTTCATGTGTCTCATATGGCTGTTAGAAGCAGCTTTCCAGCCAGCTGTGTGTCTCCAGGTGCTCTTATTGGTTGCCATGGTGACGATAGATGCTTAACAACAGCAGGAGAAAGGAGGCTTGAGGCTGAGAATGTAATGCCCAAACAACGTCATATTTCTCATCCTCTGTAACTGCTATCTTCATGATAATGAGCTTGTGAGAACCACAAGACCCGGCTGAACACGTTGATACAACTTCTGTGTCTGTGGAGCCAAAAATGCCTTCACTACGACGAGTTAAAAACATGTCCAGTTTGTGTTTCCTCTGAAAATCCTCCTCTCAGGTTTATATTGGAGTCAATGGAGAAAGCTGGAGAAATCTTAGGGAAGTCTGCGGCAGTTGGTGTCTGCCCAGGCCACTGTGTGTGTCCTATGGCTTTGATTTTTGACATGAAGAGTGACAGCAAGTTTTGCCATCACTGTACCAATTTTTATCTGTGTAGAGCCAAGTGAGTTGCCACAATCCTTTTGTAAAGACAAAGTTTTGAGGATCAATTTTCAGCCTGTCTCACTCTAGCTGTGAGGTCACCCACTCTAGCTGCCAACATTCCGTGCAATACACACTAATGTTAAAACCTGAACAGGTCTGAAAATCTTTGGACTTTTTGAACTGTCACTGTGAGAAAAGTATGAATGCCATGAAGATGGTGAATGAATGAGTGAATGTCTGAAGATGTGTGAATATTTTAAAGTTTGAATGAAGTTTCTAGGTGAAAGTATGAATGAATGAGAAGAGGTTGAAGTTGACTACGTCTGAAGCCCTTTTCCCATTGAATCCCATTATAACGAAGTTTTAAACAAATCTTAATATTTTGAAAAGTACAAATGGGATTAAAAATGTTGAAGATGTGGAATAATGCTGACAAATTTGTGAATATTTTGGTTTTTGAATGAAGTTTCTACGTGGAAGTATAGAGGAGTTGAAGGCTTTTGAAGTTGTGTGAAGAAAATGCGAGAAAAGGGCCAATTTGAACATTCCGTAATGCATTTCCAATGGGAGAAATCGGTCGGAAAACCTGGAATATCTCGGAAAGTATGAATGTTAGGAAATTTTTGAATACA